AACAGAAAACCACTTTACAAAACTTCATTTCTCTGTAAATTCTCTGGTAAAGAATAATCCTTACCAGACTCTTCACTTCTATGAAATTTGTCACCACTCTGGACTCTGATGAATTAGAATCCCTGAGCTCCAATGGAAACCCTTCCCACAGGTATTATATTTATACAGTTTCTCTCCTATGCGTACTCTACGATGAGCTTGAAGGTTTGACCTCCAACTGAAGTCCTTTCCACACAGCTTACATTTGTATGGTTGTTTCCCAGTATGGACTCTCTGATGGGTTTGAAGACTTGAATTCTCACTGACACGTTTCATATCTTGTTAATATTTACAGAGTCTCTCTCCTGTGCAGAACGTCTAAGGTCTAAGAATCTTATAATATTCTTAATAATGATTTTTATTGATTTTGTGATCACATAATAAAGATAAAATTTCAATAACATTGTTGAATTTTTTGCAGTATTGCTTTATATCAATCATATACATTGTTTTGAGACATAATGAAATTGAGAGGTGAAAAAGAAGAGAAACATCTAAGTTGTATACACAATTCAAAATAATTAAAATTATTATATTGGACATATGCAAAGTTTTTCTTATCTTAAAGTGTTTTAGATATTTTTATTATTAAACAACATGAAATAAAATGTATATATACACACGTATATAGAGATATACATACACACATATACACACACAAATATAGTTAGTTCATCACTTAGTACATATTTCTGCATCTCAAGACATAGTGACTTTTTTTCTCAGACTATACATCATTCAACTTTTCTTTAAGTGGGAAGCGCAATTGTGCTTTAGTCTCGGCTTTTGGTCTTGACTGTGAAGCACAGGCTCTGGATCAAGGGGCTTAAAATACCATCATCCTAATGCCAGTAAGTGACAGACATTTTTTTTCAATAGCACTATAGAAACTACTTATATTGAGTAAATTATATGCCACAGTGAAATATTTTTCAGAAAGCTTTAGATCACATTGGGCACAAGGATTCCATCAGTTTGGCTTGTTCATTCAGAAAAGTTCTGTAACATGGTTTCTAAGTCGCAGATTTTATCACTCTTAGATTTGTAGTAAAAAAAACCCTTAGATTTTATAGTCAAGCAACAAATTATAAAGTCATGAGTCATAGCAATTATTAAGCAGTAAATAAGCTAAAATAAAGAATATAAAAAGAAAATTTAAAAAATCAACCATTTAAAAGCGCAGAACTATAAGGGAATATGTCATCTTATTACCAGAGAAATCTTAATTTTACTCAGCCAGTTTACTAGCTGTAAAAAGAAATAATAAGAAATCCTGGTGAAAATAAATCAAAAGTTTAAAGCAAAACAGACGGGACACAACTCAAAAACTTAATGGAGACCTAATTCTGCTGAGAACGTAATGAGAATACACAAATATTTAAGGCTTCTGCTTCAGGCAAAGAGTAACATAAGATGAAATGTCTTGTTAAGTCTCAGGAATGTTCATATTCTAGTAGCTAGACTGTCAGAATATTTCATTATGCAGCGAACCTGAGCTACTTTTTATTGCTCATAATGATTTCTTCGTAGTCCTATAGCTCCATAGTTCTGTGGGTTCTGCATTGAAAGGGCAGGAATTTCAGCTTTTCCACAAATAACAATAGTCAATGTGAGAAGGAATTGGGAAACGTCAAGGCAGTAAACAAATGTAAAATTCTCCTTGTCCTTCTTCCCAACAGCTGCCAGTCACAGGATATCCACCACAAGACACTCCTGAGAACAAAAGTTAGCCATCCCTTCGAGCTTGTCATCATCACAGAGGATTCACAGCAGGCAGGATAACAAGACTGGCTACCTGGTAAATACATGCTTGGACGATGTGTAACAGTAAGAATGACATTAAACAAATGAACAAGGATGATAGGGCACTTTCTTCTTTGAATGCTTGTTTAGCACACAATTCCAGTGACTAGGAGAACAATGGAGATTCCCAAGAGAATTAACAATCAGCTTGTATCAAACCTTCAGTTTTGACTAAGACAGGTGCCCTTTACTTTTCATTGTCAAAACATCCAAGAGCTGGGTGTTGTGCTCTGCAGATAAAGACAATACCTTGCTCTTCTTCCTTTTCACAAACAGGATTACATTACTATTTATCATCTTGCTTTAAAACACACTTTTTTTGTTTTTCTTGTTTTTACCCTCAAATGCTTGATTGACAATACCCCAGGAGATGTCATAGTTTTTGTAGGAATCACTGCAGCATCCTGAAGCCACAGACATGTTGTGAAGACTGTCTCCCAGGTGTTTGAAATAGCTGTCAATGTACCAGAAGGATGGCTTCTTGTAGGGCTCACTTGTCCAACACTTTAACACCAATTGATGTCTATTTGAAGAGGAGATAAAAAAGAAGGCAAAATGGTGCAGGGGAAAAAAGGAGGGAGAATAAGTTCATTAAGGGCCTCCATCTGAAAGCAGCATGTGCGGAATGTCAATTTAATAATAGAATTGACAGCTCTTCTCTGGTGTCATTCCGCCACAATGGCTTCTTTGACAATTTATAAAATGGACCCTTTGTAGATGTCAGTGAGTGGCACTGCATACATTTGTGAATGCCCTGCATAACTAACATTCTCCCCCAGGCCGCATTTCCAGGATCTGTCGCAGGAATCTTTTTAGACTGACCCAGGGAACTGGTATATGAAGACCCAGTGAATCTATCCTATTTCAAATACTGTATATAATGTAAATGCATCATTGGCAGGTCATAAGTTAAAATACCTAACCATTTTGGAAAATACTCTTAGCCTAAAAGATATTTTTGAACTTTATTGCTCAACAAACACTAATACAAAATGCATCTGATCACTTATTAACATTGTGATGAGCCTAGTACAAGCTGATTTTATTATTCCAGGCTAAATTTGGCCCTTCAATGCATATATGGGTCATTCCCATGAATTGAACCAATCAACACTGTGCATACTCAGGGGAATTTTTAAAAAGGAATGAATGGCACTCACAGTACAAAATAAAGAACGGTGTAGAAAACAACAAAAATTTCTCAGCAGTCCAGTTTTAGATTATATTACCAAATTATTATTTTGTTGTTTAAACATGTTTTTCTGGCCAATTAAAATTGTATTAGTCAAGAAAGAAAAGTAAAAAAAAAAAAAAATACATTCCTAAAAGTCAAAGGTAAAATTTCTATTTAAATTTGTCATTCACTCTACATATTGAAAAATTATTTATTTTTGTATTTTAGCAGTGTTATCATAAATTATTATTTTTAAAAGAGCAAATTCATACAAAGCATTTGAATAAAGATGGAAAATATATACATTTTATTCATTATAGTCATCACAAAGAAACGATTTGACAGATCAATGACAATTGTGTTTCCTATACTGAAACTAAAATTACAAAATATATAAATTGTATTTTCATAACAAATCTGCACATTCTGCACATGTACCCCAGAACTTAAAGTATAATTAAAAAATAAGAACACTGAACATTATTTTTTAGTGGCAAGTTACCAGAACATATATATATATATATATATATTTTTTTTTTTTTAGAGGAATTTTCATTGACACATGGATCATTTGAACATGTTGGCTTTCTATGACAGTTTTATATCATCTTAAGTGGTCATAATAACAACATGGAAATTTTATGTAACAAATAATAAATACAAATTAAAAAACATTGAGCCAGTTTACTTTATATGTAAATTATTTTTGCTCTCCTAACATTATATATCTACCTATTTATGTATTCACTTTATTTAGTAATATTCAACATTCAACAATTTATTATGTGTAGAATTAGCTTTAATTTGGGGTGAAAGGAAGAGAGGCATAAATGATTCTACTGTTAATTTACAAAGTTCTAGATATGGAAGATAACTTGAAGACCCATTAATCTGACTTTGCCATTTTACCTTTGAAGGAACTAAAGCCATGAAGTTAACTTATCTTCTGAATTTTGAAACAGAATTTATGTCAACGATCACAGTAAAAACACATTGATCAGAAATCATCAAACAATTTAAAGATTCTTTTAAAATCCCAATAAAATTTGATGGCTGTTAAACATCATCATTTTAAAATCCCAGATTCAATGGCCGTTGTTTGCCCTGAATCTATGGACTATTGGGAAGCTGGAAACAACGTTGAAATACACAAACCTTTCTTAAGGAAATACTCAAATGTAAGTCAAATGTAATATAGTTAATTAACTATTATTTACCCTATGCTCAATAATGATTCACATTAATAATTAACTAAATTGATCAAAACAAAGTATTTCTTAGGGATATGTAAAGGGTTAGGATCTCAATTTGGCTTAAGTTAATAAACATTATATTTTATTTATTCAAACACTTTTTTTATCTTCAGGTTTCTAAATAAAATTGTTAACTTGAAACAGTTTTTCATACTGATAATGTTACTAAAAAATCAATTAACTAAAATTATTGCATAATAAAATATTTTTATTCTCTCTGCTGATTTTTGTATATGATATGAGATAAGGACACAATTTCATTGTTTTACATGTGGCTATTCAGATTTCTAGACACTATTTATTAAAGAAATTGTCCTTTCCTCATTGTCCTTTCCTGGAAACTTAAGGTGGATTGACCATAAATGCATGGATTTATTTGTAAGCTTTATAAGCTGTTCTATTGGTCTGTATGTTCATTTTTAATGCCATTTTAGTTACCAAACCTTTTCAGTATATTTTGAGATTAGACAGTATGGTGTCTGCAACTTTGTTCTTTTTGCTTGAGATTACATTGGCTATCTCTGGGTCTTAGACAGTTCCACACATATCTTTGAATTGATTTTTTTTTTCCTGCCTCTGAAAAACGTTATCAAAATTTTGATAGGGATTGCACTGAACCTGTATATTGTTTTGGGTGGTATGAACATTTCAACTATACAACATTTCAACATATATATGTGTGTATATATATACATGTTGCTTTTTAATTTTTAATTTCTGAGAGCATATACTAAGTGTATATTTTATGGGGTACAAAAGATATTTTGATACAGGCATAAATGTATAATAATCACTTCAGGGTAAATGGGATTTCTATCACCTCAAGTATTTACTCTTTGTGTTACAGACAATCCAATTATATACTTTTAGTTATTTTAAAATATATAATTAAATTACTATTGACTATAGTCACTTTGTTGTGCTATCAAATTCTAGATCTTACTCATTCTTCTATTTTTTTTGTACCAATTAATTATCCCCACTTTCTTCCTACCCATCACCCCTACCCTTCCCAGCCCCTGGCAACCACCTTTCTAAACTATATCTCCATGAATTCACTTGTCTTAACTTTTACCTCCCACAAATAAATGAGAACACTGCCAAGTTTGTCTCTCTGTGTCTGGTTTATTTCACCCAGCATAATGATCTCCAGTTCCAACCAGTCATTGCAAATGACAGAATCTCTCTCTCTTTTTTTTTTTTTTTTTTTTTATAGCTAAATAGTACTTCATTGTGTTTATATACCACATTTTCTTTATCCATTCATCTGAGAACAGACACTTAAGCTGCTTCCAAATCTTGGCTATTGTAAATAGTGCTACAGTAAATATGGGAGTGCAAATATCTGTTCAATATACTGATTTCCTTTCTTTTGGGTCTTTACCCAGCAGTGAGATGGTTTAATCATATGATAGAGTCACTTTTAAGTTTTTTGAGGAACTTCCAAACTGTTCTCCATTGTGGTTGTACTAATGTACATTCCTATCAACTGTATATGAGTGTTCCCATCTCTCTACATTTTCACCAGCTTTTGATAATTGCTTGTCTTTTGCATAAAAGTTATTTCAACTTAGATGATATCTCACTGTGGTTTTGACCTATATTTCTCTGATGCTCATTGATGTCCAGTACCTTTCATACCCTTGTTTGCCATTTGTATGTCTTCTTTTGTCTAGTCAGATCTTTTGTCCATTTTGCAAGCAGATAACTAGAATTTTTTTCCTTAGAGTTGTTTGAGCCACTTGCATATTTTTGTTATTAAACTTGTTAGAAGAATAGCTTGCAAATATTTTCTCCGATTCTGTGGGTTGTCTCTTCACTTTGTTGATTGTTTCCTTTGCTGTGCAGAAGCTTTTTAACTTGATGTGATCCCATATGTCCATTTTTGCTTTGGTTGCCTCTGCTTGTGGGGTACTACCCAAGAAATCTTTGCCCAGAATGTACTTGAGAATCTTCCCAATGTTTTCATGGAGTAGTTTCAGAGTTTGATGTCTTAGGTTTAATCCATTTTGTTTCGATTTTTATATGTGGTATGAGATAGAGGTCTAGTTTCATTCTTCTGCATGTGGATACCCAGTTTTCCCAGCACTATTTGTTGAAGAGACTATCCATTCTCCAATATATATTTTTTACATATTTGTCAAAAATGAGTTTACTGTAGTTGTATGAATTTGTTTCTGGGTTCTTTACTCTGTTCCATGAGTCTATATGTCTGTTTTTATGCCAGTACCATGCTGTCTTGGTAACTATATCTCTGTATTAGAATTGGAAGTGAGGTAATGTGATTCTTCCGGGTGTTTTTGTGGTTTTGTTTTTGTTTTTGGCTCAGGATTGCTTTGGCCTATTTTGGGTCCTTTGGGGTTCCATATAAATTTTAGAATTGTTATTTCTATTTCTGTGGAGAATATCATTGGCATTTGGATAAGGATTGCATGGAATCTGTAGATTACCTTTTGTTGTTTGGACATTTTACCAATATTGATTCTTCCAATTCATGAACAGGAATATCTTTTCATTATTTTTTGCTTTCTTCAATTTCTTGTGTTAATGCCTTATAGTTTTCATTATACAGATCTTTCACTTCTTTTTAATTTCTAGATATTTAATTTTATTTGTAGTTATTGTAAATAGGATTACTTTTTAAAATTTCTATTTCAGATGGCTTGCTCTTGGCTTATAGAAATGCTAATGATTTTTGTATGTTGGTTTTGTATCCTGCGCTTTTACTGAATTTGTTTATTCGTTCTGGCACTTTTTTGGTGGGGTCTTTAGGTTTTTCCAAATTTAAGATCCTATCTTCTGCAACCAAAGATAATTTGACTTATTACTTTCCAATTTGGATGCTCTTTATTTGTTTCTCTTGTCTGATTGCATGAGCTAGAACTCCCCGTGGTATGTTAAGTAATAGTATTCAAAGTGGCTATTCTAGTCATCTTCCCAATCTTAGAGGAAATCTTTCCATTTTCCCCCATACAGTATGTTGCTAATTGTGGGTCTGTCATATATGGTTCTTATTATGTTAAGGTATGTTCCTTCTATGAGCAGTTTTTTTGAGGGTTTTTATCATGAAAATATGTTGAATTTTTTTCAAATGCTATTTTCATATTCATTGAAATAATATGATTTTTTCCATCATTCTGTTTATATGATGTATCACATTAGTTGATTTGCATATGTTGAATCATCCTTGCATTCCAGGGATAAATCACACTTGATATTGTATTATTCCGTTCTTACACTTCTATGAAGAAATGCCCAAGATTGGGTAACTTGTAAAGAAGAGAGATTTAATTGAATCACAGTTTCAGATGGCTGTGGAGGCTTCAGGAACTTTACAATCATGGCAGAAGGGGAAGCAGGCACATCTTACATGGTGGCAGGTGAGAGAGACTGTATGAAAAACATATGGTCAAACAGTTATAAAACCATCAGACCTCACAAAAACTCACTCACTATTATGGTTCAATCTTGGTGGATTGTATGTGTATAGGAATTTATTATTTATTCCAGTTTATCTAATTGCTGGCATTTAGTTGAATTTCTGCAGTATCGGCCATATTTGTCTTTTTTCTTCTCTGAAAAAGTGAGTTGTTTATTTGTGATTTTGTTGCAAAATCGCAAATAAATAACAAATGGCATCTACAAATTATACATCTAATAATAGGCTAATATACTATATATAGGGAACTCAAGCAACTCACTAGCAAGAAAACAACTAATTTAAAAATGGGCTAAGAACTTGAATAGACATGTCTTCGAAAGAAGACATACAAATGATCAATAAGTTTACAGAAAAATGCTCAACATGACAAATCATCAGGGAAATGGAAATTAAAACCACAGTGAGATATCACCTCACACTTGTTAGAATAACTATTATCCAAAACAGAAAAGATGACAGTTGTTGGCAAAGGTGTAGAAAGAAGGAAAACTTTGTATACAATTGGTGGGAATGTTAATTAGTACAAGTATTATGGAAAACAGTGCAGAGCATCTTCAAAAATTTAAAATAGATCTATCATCTCATTCTGCAATCACTCTTTTAAAATATGTATCTAAAGGTAATAAAGTTAGTGTGTTCAAAAGATATCTGCAGCATTATTCACAGTAACTATATGTAATAAATCTAAGTGTTTATTAATAGATGAATGGGTAGAGAAACTTTGGTGTGTGTGTGTGTGTGTGTGTGTGTGTGTCTGTGTGTGTGTCTGTGTGTCTGTGTGTCTGTGTGTCTATGTATACATATATATGCAAAGACATATTACTCCACCAAAAAAAAATTTCTGTCATTTGAGGCAACATGAAAGAACATGAAGGACGTTTGTCTAAGTGAAATAAACCAGGAACAGAAAGACAAATATTACATGATCTCACTCATATGTGAAATCTAAAAATGTCAAACTCATGAAGCAGAGAATAGAATGGTGGTTTCCAAAGACTAGCGGGGTAGGGTGGGTGGGTAATGGGAAGATGCTGGTTAAAGGGACAAAGTTTCAGGTAGACAGAATGAATAAGCTCTGGAGATTTATGGGACAGCACAGTGACTGCAGTTGATAGTAATGTATTATATAGTTGAGAAGTTCTAAGAGATTACATTTTAAATGTTCTCACCATGTAACAGTGATACATGTGTATGGTAACAGATACATTAATTAGTTTAGTCATTTCACAATGTATCCATATATCAAAACATTACATATTACACCATAGATATAATTTTTATTTGTCAATTATAAATTGAAAGCTGAAAAAATTTTAAAAATAAAATATGTGTAGATAATATCCACAAAAATGAAACAAAAGCATGAAACATGGTAAGTTGGTCATAGATTTTCTTAATTTTTGTTTCATAAAAAAATACTTAGAAAGTACATAAATAAATGCTTCTAACATTGATTTTACTTAATAAAATTACTGTTGGCCTTTAAAAATAAACAGTTGAATTCAAAATGTGGTACATATACACCATGGAATATTACGCAGCCATCAAAAATTATGAGTTCATGTCCTTTGTAGGGACATGGATGAACCTGGAAACCATCATTCTCAGCAAACTGATACAAGAGCAGAAAATCAAACACCACATGTTCTCACTCATAGGTGGGTGTTGAAAATGAGAACACATGGACACAGGGAACACTAGACACTGGGGTCTGTTGGGGGGAAATAGGGGAGGGATGATGGGGGTGAGGAGGTGGGGAGGGTTAGCATGAGGAGAAATGCCAGATATAGGTGAAGGGTAGAAAGGCAGCAAATCACAGTGCCATATATGTACCTATGCAACAATCTTGCATGTTCTTCACATGTACCCCAAAACCTAAAATGCAATAAAAAATAAAAATAAAAATAAATAAATCTGTTTGACTAAGCTTGAATGCTTGATTATTTTTCAGGCAAATTTTGTGTGTAAGGAAATATGTTTATGTCATTTTTTATCATGGAAAAACTAAAACCTGTAATTGTTAATTTGATGGAACAACAATTACAGGATGTCTCTCTAAGTCACATATATATTATAGATCAAAAACCAATAATAAACTATTCTTACAGAACCATAGATGTTTTAAAGAGCATGAAAGCTAATGTCTTACAAAAGGTATCAACTTTCAAAAGACTGATAGTATGATTTGTTTCAGTGAAAATCTTTCCAATTTCATTTTAAAGTTTCTGAATTGGTATTTGGGGTTAGCAGTCTTTAATAAGAACTAATAAATTACTTATGTTACTTCTCTATTGGAGGACTTAATATACTCATGAAAAGTATATTTGTAATATATCATATATGTATAATATCTGTAGTTATGTCATGGAAAACTGCTGAGATGCTACTTCCAAGCAGGCACTTTGGTTCTCATCCTAGCCACACAAC